ACTTTGATGCTTTGTTTCAGGGTTGTATTGGGGTCCCCATGTTTCTTCACTGCTGATAACACAGCCCCAAACATCATCTTGCCTCTCCAGAAGGTCTTGGCAAACTTTAATTTTGCTTTGCTTTTGTTTATTAGTGAGGCACTGATATCCTTAGGTCATGAAACCTTACTGAGCTGTTGTACAGTCCTGTCAACATAAGTGCATGGTGGCAAGTTCATGAACTCAATGGCCAAATCTCTTAGGAAGGAAATTAGGAAACCATTACTGTTGTAAAACTTGAGTACTGGTAAAGATTGTGCTTTGAGAGTCCTGACTGCCTAGCTCCCCAAACAATCTCTTTGTTGAAAACTCTGTAGTTTGTGCTGGGCATTTTGGTTTGTTTTTTATATCAGTGGTTTTATTGCCTTAGTGCCAACTGAAATTTAGAAGTAAGTAACTTTCTATTTCACATCCTTAATCCTTGATTGTTGTTAACTTTGAACCACATATATGTAAGATACATTCCTTGTTTTGAAGGAAAGTGAATTTTATTTTTCTTTTGAAGAGTGAACACTATGTTCTTTCCCAGCCATTTTGAGTAATCTTTGTATCTTGGTATACCATCTTAAACTGTTCATCATTTCCTAAGGATAATTTTAGGTGGTATATAAACCTTTAAATAATGTAGTAAATGCCAGAAAACAATTTCTGACTGTGGTTCTGTGGTTTAAGCTACAAGCTAAAGATAGGAATCAGGATCAGATGAGTATGAAGTTTGTTTTCATTATTTATGAACATCTTTTGGCCAGCTATGGTGGCTAACACCTATAATCCTAGCACTTTGAGAAGCCAAGGTAGGTAGATTGCCTGAGCTCAGGAATTTGAGACCAGCAAGACCCTGTCTTTACAAATAGAAAAACTAGCTGGGCATTGTGGCAGGTGCCTATAGTACCAGCTACTTGGGTGCCTGAGACAAGAGAATCGCTTGAGCCCAAGAGTTTGAGGTTGCTGTGAGTGAGCTACGATGTTACAGCATTCAATCCCAGGGCAACTAAGTCAGACTCAAAAAAATTTTTAAAAAAGTCTTTTAACATAAAAGTTACTAATTCATTTTTCAATGAATTTAAAGTTTGACAGTACACTGCTTCAGTTCAAAATAGTCTTAACATTTTTTCTTTCATTCTGTAATGACCTCATGGTTAGGTGAAAAGCTACGAGTCCTTGGTTACAACCAGAATGGCGAGTGGAGTGAAGTTCGCTCTAAGAATGGACAGGGTTGGGTGCCAAGCAACTACATTACTCCAGTGAACAGCCTGGAAAAACATTCCTGGTACCATGGACCTGTGTCACGTAGTGCAGCAGAGTATCTGCTCAGCAGTCTAATCAATGGTAGTTTCCTGGTGCGAGAAAGTGAGAGCAGCCCTGGGCAGCTGTCCATCTCACTCAGGTATGAGGGACGTGTGTATCACTACAGGATCAATACCACCGCAGATGGCAAGGTAAGAAGGCAGTTACTTCACAATAAACCACCTCTAGGTGTGAACTGACTGCTCTGTAGAACTAAGACTTAGAATGGCATGAAATTCAGTTTTGATGTCTGACATGAAATAAAATATTTGCTAACTGTGTGAGTTTGGGCTGTTAGAACTTGCTCTTTTCAAAAAGATATGGTAATGGAAATTAAAAATACTATTATATTAATAGTTTCATTATAAGCTAAATTTAAAGGTGAAGAATGAAGGTAACTGCCAGTATAAGCTAGCTGTTCTAATCATCAGTACACAGATACCCAGTACATCAGCATAGAATTTATAAATTAACCTTGTGTCTTTGAAAAGTATAATAATCTTTGCTAGAAAGTTCATGGAGTAAAACTTTAGACTTCTGAGACTGGAGTCAGTCATTAATATATGTTAACATAGGCTGGGCGCCTGTGGCTCAAGTGGCTAAGGCACCGGCCACATACACCTAAGGTGACGGGTTCGAATCCAGCCCAGGCCCACCAAACAACAATGACGGCTGCAGCCAAAAAATAGCCGGGCATTGTGGTGGGCGCCTGTGGTCCCAGCTACTTGGGAGTCTGAGGCAAGAGAATTGCTTAAGCCCAGGAGTTGGAGGTTGCTGTGAGCTGTGATGCCACAGCACTCTACCTAGGGGGACAGCTTGAGGCTCTGTCTCAAAAAAAAAAAATATATATATATATATAGATGTTAATATATATCTATTACATGCTAACATAAATAGATAATTCAGTCACTTAGCAATTTGTATATTGGAAAGACCAACTATGTTGGTTATAATGGTTGTGTTAGAATGGAACTGTTAACATGTTACAAACTATAAAGTATGAAGTTATGTCACTTCTTTTGCTATTGACCAGTAAACTTAGATTGAATGATTTCTCCCATCCTTCCCCTCTCTGTGATTATGTGTAGTGGTAGGAAAGCACAGGTTTTGGAGGGAGCAGACCTGGGTTGCTTTTTTGTAACTATGTTGTTTCTTAAGTTTTGTAGCCTTACGCAAGCCTCACTTTCCCGGTCTGTAATTAAATCTCAATGTATTGGATTGTTGTAAGGATCAAATGAACTAATTTCTATAAAACATAATAGCTGGTACAAAGTAGGAAATAAGAAAATTATTAGTTCTCTTTCTCTTTTGTACCAATATACATATGTAATATGTTGTCTTTTGACCAAACCGAATAGAGTTAGATAAATAGTAATCTAAGACAGTTACATATCCAACAGAAATAAGTACATGTATGTACCAGAAGATATATAGAGAATGTTCATGCCAGCGTTGTTTGTGATATCCCCAAACTAGAAACACCCAAATATCTAACAACAGTAGAATGGATTAATAAATTGGGGTATATTCATAAAATGGAATCTCATACAGCAACAGAAATGAGCATAATACTGCCAGACATAGCGCCATCAAGACAAATAATGGCCCACCAGCCGACTACTTTTTGTAAATAAAATGTTATTAGAATATAGCCACACCCATTTCTTTGTATATTATCTATGGTTACTTTTTATTACTAGGCAGTACTGAATAGGGGTGACAGAGACTTTACGGCCATGAGCCTAAAATATTATCTGGCCCTTTACAAAAAAGTTAGTAAAGTTGAGTGAAAAGGGGATGGTACCTGTGGCTCAAGGAGTAGGGCGCCAGCTGCATGTACCAGAGGTGGTAGGTTCAAACCTGGCCCTGGCCAAAAACTGTAAAAAAAAGTTGAATGAAAGGGATTAGTGTTTTGTTGTTGTTGTTGTTGTTGTTGTTATTGTTGTTGAGACAGAGTCTCATTATGTCGCTCTTGGTAGAGTGCCATGGTGTCACAGCTCACAGCAACCTCTTAACTCTTGGGCTTAAGAGATTCTCTTGCCTCAGCCTCCCAAGTACCTGGGACTATAGGTGCCTGCCATAATGCCTGGCTATTTTTTTTGTTACAGTTGTCATTGTTGTTTAGCTGGCATGGGCCAGGTTTGAACCTGACAGCCTGGGTGTTTGTGGCTGGTGCCCTCCCTAGTGAGTTACGGGCACCGCTTGAAAGGGATTAGTGTTTGCCTTAGATGAGGAGAACAGGACAGATAGGAGGTTTCTTTTGGGGGTGATGAAATGTTCTAGAGTTAGGTAGTGGTAATGTTTGGATAACCTTGTGAATATACTAAAAACCGCTGAATTATATACACTAAAATGGCAAATTTTATAGTATATGAGATATACTGCAATTAAAAAAAAGTTGAGTAAAAGAAAGCAGACACTACTGGTAAACCTTTAAGTCATTAGAAGTCAAAATAATTGTTACCTTTGCAGGGATAAGTAGATGGGGAGGGCACAAGGGAGGCTTATTAGAATTCTTGGTGTGGGGGTAATATTTGCATAGGTGAGTTTATTTTGTAAGAATCATCAGTTCTCCATTTATGAATCATATACTTTTCTGTATACAATAAGACAAAAGTTTCTTTTTAAGAAATAACAAATTCCCTTAGGAGATATCGCCAAAGATTGCTCTTCCTTTATACATCCTAATTGCCTATCACAAATTAACAACTGGTTTGTCAACAACTCTCTAAAATCAAATTGTGATTCTTTTTTTTTTTTTTTTTGAGACAGTCTCACTATGTCACCTTCCGTAGAGTGCCATGGCGTTGTCACAGCTCCTAGCGACCTCAAACTCTTGGGCTCAAGTGATTCTCTTGCCTCAGCCTCCTAAGTAGCTGGGACTACAGGCACCCGCTACAACGCCTGGCTATTTTTTGGTTGTAGTTGTAGTTGTTGTTTGGCAGGCTTGGGCTGGATTCGAACCTGCCGGCTCTGGTATATGTGGCTGGTACCCTGGCCACTGAGCTACAGGCACCAAGCCCAAATTGTGACTCTTCTTAAAAGAATGGCCTGGACACTCAAATGTGTATTGTACTTAAATAAAAAGAAATAATAAAATATTTGAATACTTTCCTCATACCAAAAGAAGTCTAAATGAGTAGTTTTCACATTATGTTCTGGGCAAGATTCTGAGGTACCTTGGGTACAGTGAGCTATAACACCACTGCAATCTCAAACTCTTGGGCTCAAGTGATCCTCTTGCCTCAGCCTCCTTGAGTAGCTGGGATTACAAGCATGCGCCACCATGCCCCACTAGTTTTTCTCTTTTTAGTAGAGAAGGGTCTTGCTCTTCCTCAGGCTGGTCTCTGAGGTCAAGCAGTCTACCTGCCTTGGCCTCCTAGAGTGTTATGGTTTACAAGCCTGAGCCACTGTGCCTGGCCTCTGAGGTAGTATTTTAAAAATTTTTACAAGAACCAAGTCCCTGCTTGCCTGCTTTAATCATGGGGTCTCTGAGTGCAGTGGCATCATCACAGCACACTGTAACCTCAGACTCCTGGGTTCAAGTGACTCTCCTGCCTCAGTCTCCCAAGTAGCTGGGATTACAGGCATATGCCACCATGCCTAGCTAGTTTTTCTTTTTTTTTTTTTTTTTTCTTTTTTTGACTGAGTCTCACTCTGTCACCCTGGGTGGAGTGCTGTGGTGTCATAGCTTAGCAACTTCAAACTCTAGGGCTCAAGAGCTTTTTTGGCCTCAGCCTCCCGAGTAGCTGGGACTATAGGTATGAGCCACTGTGCCTGGCCTAGTTTTTCTATTTTTTGTAGAGATATAGTTTTGCTGTTGCTCAGGCCAGTCTCAAACTCTTGAGCTCAAGTAGTCCACCTGCCTTGGCCTCCCGAGTAGCTGGGGCTACAGGCGGGAGGCACCACAGCTGGCCTACTTTTTCTTTTTTTGTAGAGACGTAGTTTTGCTCTTGCTCAGGCTGGTCTCAAACTCCTGAGCTCAAGTAGTCCTCCCACATTGGCCTCCCAGAGTCTAGGATTATAGGCATGAGCCAGGGCATCTACCGCCTTTTGTATATATTTGAGTTCCTCAGTCTTGCTGCTTAAAAAATATTTGAAGACCAATGAGCTAGATGATCCAGAGAGATATCTTGAAAGTTTCCCCCCAATACTGGGCTAACTTAATTTGGGAAGAATAGGAAGAGTAGTTTAAATAAGGTTAAACTGAAGTTCTGTGTTTCCCCTTGCCATCATCATTGCACTCTTATTTACCTCAGTTAAGATAACTTCCTACCTTTATATATTTTGGCTAGTGAAATAAGGGCTTAAAAAAGAAATCTTGATTTCTTTTCATATTGTTAGCTTTTCTTCTTTCCTCACCAGGTATATGTGACTGCTGAGAGTCGCTTTAGCACCTTGGCAGAGCTTGTTCACCATCACTCCACAGTGGCTGATGGGCTGGTGACCACATTACACTACCCAGCACCCAAGTGTAACAAGCCTACGGTCTATGGCGTGTCCCCCATCCACGACAAGTGGGAAATGGAACGAACAGATATTACCATGAAGCACAAACTTGGGGGCGGTCAATATGGAGAGGTTTACGTTGGCGTCTGGAAGAAATACAGCCTTACAGTTGCTGTGAAAACACTGAAGGTGGGTTGCTGAGAATTACAGTTTTCAGGCATCTTTTTCTTTGGTGCTCAATCACTTGGAAATACCAGCATGCCCTTCTTTAACTTTGGAACACTTTCCACCCACTGGTGCCAAACACATCAGCAAATTGTGGTGATTAACCCTAGTGCCTTCGCTGACAATGCAGGGGCAGGTTGTTTTCTCCAATGCGGTGAAACCCATGTTTGGGAAAGATTTGTCTCTGGAGGCTGTTGGTGTAGGTCTTGGTGGGAGGTTAGAAGCAAATTATAAGTTATAAAAGCAAAACAAGCTGTTTTGCTTCTTGAGAGTGAAACCTGCTGGGTTTGAGCATTGTTGGAGAATCACACGGTTCTCTCTTGCCTCGTCCTTTATCTTCCTGCTTCTTGCTCCACCCATATCTTTGTAATTAGATGACTTTTTCTTCTGAATACTCACAGAAATCTTTTTCCTGATGCTGCTCTGTCTTTTCAAGTGTCCTAGTGTCAAATTATAGGGTTTTCACTCATTTGATTCTTTAAAGATTGTCCCAGAGCCTCAGGAGATTTGGTATATCACTGATAAAACGACTGTTCTTCGGCCAGTAGTAGTATTTTGTTTATTAAGCATATTCGGAATGTGAAGCAATACATGAAGCCTGACATATGCACTACTCCTTAAAAAGCTAATGGTCTAATCAGGAAGGTAAACATGTCAGTAGTTAACCGCT